AAAGAGGGACAGATATAGGGCGCACACATCGGCATAAAACAAAAACAACAACATAAACACGGTGGAGAATATGATGAAAAACATAATTTTGTTTCAGCAGAGAAACAGAGAGAGCCGCCTGCATCTCTCGGGTGTATGCACACCGAAGGAGAGGGCTGCGCGCTGCCGCCTGCGGCGCCCGTTCCAGCTCCCTGGACGCCCCAGCGGCTAATAAAGTTTTAAAATATATTATTATTTTAGAAATGTTTAAATATTCAGAAGAGAAGCAGTGAATACCTGGGAGAAGGCGCATGCTGAGGTGCGCAGATCGCGGCTTTCGTTCTTGCCGAAGCGTTCATCACCGGCTCGAATTTGGGTGTTTGGTGTATACCCCATTCCTCCTAAATTTCGAAGAAATTTAAATCCTTTTGTCCGCACCATTTCGGCGCGGCCAGAGAAGGAGCCGCCATCGCCCCCCATGGTGGCTGCGGGAGGGCTGCTGATAGAACGAGAGAAGCGGCAATGTATGAGCTCTCTGCAGCCTGCTGCGAATAGAATTGACGAAAACTAGAACACGCAATACATAAAATAACAAAAAATATACAAAATAAACGGGAAAAAGGAACAAAATGAGCGCAGCCGCAGGCATTGCAAGCCCCGCTGGTGACCGGCAGCTGCTGGCAGCAGCAGTATCAGCAGACACACACTGACCCAGCACCATGCGGCAGCTTCTGGTGGCCTCGCTGCGCTCATGGGGGTCTTCCTCCTCCCTCTCTAGCAAGCCGCAACGGGGCTTAATAGGGGGCATCAGGCCCTTCAGCAGCAGCCAGCCGGGGGCCCCCTTCAGCCGCTTCCTAAAGACTCTTGACGGCACCCAGAAGGCTTACTACGACCTCGCAGGTCTGCCTCTCCTCACTTGCTGCTGCTGCTGCTGCTGCTGCTGCTGCTGTTGCTGCTGTGCTGCGTGCTTCGCTTGTTGCAGCAGCAGGGGTACAGAGGGCCTCTATCCCGCGTCAGTGGGGCCCCTGTCTTGACGGGGCCCCTGCAGCATATCTTATTCTTGTGTGTGTGTCTTTGTGTATCTGTCTGTGTCAGTGAGAGCGTTATAATGTTTATTTATTTATTATTTATTTTTATTTATTTATTTATTTATTTATTTTTTTAATTGTCTTCTGCTGCTGCAGCGCTGGGCGGGGAGCGATATGAGGCGCTGCCTTACTCTGTACGAATTCTGCTGGAGTCAGCCGTCCGCAACTGCGATGGCTTTCGGTGCGTCTTTGGCTGTTCAGGTGTATAGGCAGCTCACGTGTTTGAGGTGTATACGCAGCTCAGCTACTTGGGGTGTATAGGCAGCTCAGGTTTTTGTATATGTATAGACCGCTTATTTGTTTGTATTTATATGTGTGTACACTCTGCCTAAACATATATACATATTTATATATATAAAAATTACATATATATATATATATA